CAGAATGATACAATTATATATCTATCATTTATATGCTCTTACCATAAAACACTATTTTACATTTGAGCGTTTTTTTTAAAAAAATTTATAATACAACTAGTTGGACCAATAAATTCTCTCTATTTTATCCATCTTCCTTTTTCGGCACTCAAAAATGTCAACACTTACGATATGATATAAAAATACAATAATATCATGGGACCGACACTGAGAGTGTGACTGGCACCTATACTTTGACAATCACAAGCTTCAATGATTTCTTTAATTTTTCTTAGGTTATCAAGATTAAAGGTAAAACTCGACCTCTGGAGCTCAAGCTTGCATTCAACCACTGACATGACGTCTGTTGATAAAAATCATTCTGCAAACACATACAGGGAAACAATACAGGGATGATCTTTATAATACTGGGAAACCTCTATTTTGAGAAGGCCTGAAAGACTCTATGAGGAGTAAGATGCGAAGCACACCTTTTACGAATGATACAAAACGCCATTTCAAAGATATTCCCTAAAGATAGATAGTCATCACATGAGAAGCTCATTAAATTGATTATTCCCAATAATTTAAGGAGAGTGATATTTTTGACTGCACTGTCCAGTTGAATGGTAAATTCTCTTTAAATTATTTTTAAAAAAATTTCAAGGCATGACTTTTTTTTATATATACGTAGTGTAGAAGTGGAAATCACATTTACCAAGACTTCATTATAGTTATAGAGTACATTATGTTGTTTTAGATATTCATCACTGCTTCACAAGGCTCAAAACTTTGCACAGGATGTCTGAGTAAAAGTAAATAAAATCTCTTTGCCACCGCAAGTTTCCTTCGGGATCTCGTAGTGGGGTGTCTCCTGCATTGTTTTAGCCAAAAATGAAAATATTCAATGGAGCTCTTCACAGATAAAATCGATTTTGGGATTTTTGGCCCCCAAATTGCCTCAAAAACTTTTAACTGTCTTGATTCAATGGAAGAAAATAGATATGCACACTGATTACCATGTAATTTTGGACAAAAAATCAATTGAGTGGGGTTTTGAATCGCTTAAGATCTTCATGGCCCCATAAAATGGCGGTTTTTCATACTTTTGGAGGTTGTTCAGACCCACTCTCTCCTTTATTCAGCTATTGAAAGTGTGTTGTCATAGGTGTTGATTGTGCATAAAATTGGACTAGGAATTGGATGCGCTTGGTCCTGAGTCACTGAGAGCCTTCCTCAGTGGAAAATCGATCGACGGTTGAGTGAGGTTCGAAGAGAGCTTTTCAATTTCATTATCATTATTGTTAAGATTTTGACGCTGAATTTGACCTAGTTTGGTTAATTAAGGACAGAAATTTAGATCCGGCTATCAACGGTCAGAATGTGCAAGGTGGAAAAGCTATTCCGATGCTAAATGGGATTTCACTGGGACCAGAGTATCTCCAAGGAGACTAAAAGAAAAATTTACAACGTCATCGTGAAAAGCATCATAACTTACAGGAGTGCGGTCTGGCAACTGAAGAAAAGAAGTGAAGACATGCTTATTAGGGCAACTGAGATGAGCTTTTGGCGGAGATCTGCTGGAATCTTGAAAAGAGAGCGTATCCGCAATGAAAAAGTGCGCGAGATGATGTACGTGGAGAATGATATCGTTCACAATATCATGTCCAAGCAGTTGGTCTGGTATGGACATGTGCGAAGAATGGCGGACATTCGTTTGCGCAAGCAGGTTTTTGATTCGGTTCCTCCCGGAAAGCAAGGACGTCCTGTGAAAGGTTAGCAACATGAGGGGAGGAGGAGATCAAGAGGTGCCAATTGCCTAATGATCTCTGGGAGGGTAGGGGACAATGGCGATTGGGCTTCGCAGAGTGCAAGGCTGCGCTATGAAAGTGGCTATTTGTATTTATTGCCCTAATTGTCTTTGAAATGAGACCACTGAGTTCATAACAACAAAACAACCTATATTGATCTCATGACTTCTAATGATCCTCTTGTTGGCCCACTGCACATGCACAGGTGTGCATTGCTTATCTCATCATGAGCAACGAAGATTGGTATCAGTGCGCGCACATGCTGACCTACACTGGTTGACAGGATCTCACTGTGTCCTCATCATCAGATCAGTTGTACCTAATCACTCAGTTGAAAGCAAAGAGCAAGTCTGATAATTTTCATTCTCTTAAGTATAAAAAAGTAGTTTTGGGCTTAAATAGACATAGACGTAGAAACCACGACGAAAACAGAAAGATTTTGTTGTAGAAGAAGTATTTATATATGTTTTAGAAGAGGAAAATTGATAAAAATTAAGGACGATTTCAACTGCTGTTCCTCAATGGATGTTTCTCCTACACTCTTCTCACAAAATTCTAGGTAAAAACTCATTTTTAGGGTTGTATTGAGGCATTAAAGTCTGATATTGACTTTTGAAATCGTCGTTGAATCGTGTTGTTATATACTCGTGGTCTCATTTCAAAGAAAGCTGGGGCAAATCCAGTGCTAAAATCAAACAGTAATGATAATGAAATTGAAAAGCTCTCTTCGAACCCCACTCAACCGTCGATCGATTTTCCACTGAGGAAGCCTCTCAGTGACTCAGGACCAAGCGCATCCAATTCCTCGTCCAATATTACGTATAAATCAACACCCATGACAACACACTTCCTATAGCCGAAAAAAGGAGAGAATGGGTCCAAAAACCCTGCAAAAATATGAAAAACCGCCATTTTATGGGCCCATGAAGATCTTAAGCGATTCAAAACCCCACTCAATTGATTTTATGTCCAAAATTACATGGAAATCAGTGTGCATATCCTAATTTTTCCATTGAATCAAGAGGGTCAAATGTTTTTGAGGCAATTTGAGAGCTATAAATACCAAAATCGATTTTATTTGTGGAGAGCTTTACATTTTTAGCTGAAGCAAGGCGGGAGAGTTCCCAAAAGAAACTTGTGCCGGTACAGATATTTCATTTACTCTTACTCAGATGAAAAAAAAAAACACTAAGAAGTGGCCCGAACTGTATGTAACAATGTGAAGAAACGGTGCTGGGTCCACACCATTTTGCAGGGAAAACAATTTTTGGAATTTCTTGGCTTTGTTTTCCCCGCGAAATGGTGTGAGCCCAGCACCATTTCTCCACCTTTTACTCAGACTAACCGTGTTTGATTTTCAAATTCATAATATAAAATTAACTCTGGTTTAGAGTGACTTGAAAATGAGATACAGCGCCAGAATTGAAAAGGAAGGCGCGTAGATCAAGTAGCCGGTTGACACTTCAAGTACCAGCAAAGGAAATTTATCACAGTTCATGACTCTCATAATTAATGTAAACCCTCTTACATTCAAAAATTAACTGGTGCCAACGAAGCCAATAGATTCACATGAGCACTCATCCATGAATTAAAGGTTTTGCAGTTCTGGAATCCCTCAATTCCATAGATCCATTCCCTGCGGTTCTCTGTGTCGTGAACTCTTAACTCATGGCTCTTATCCACCTCGGCAAACTATGGAACACGAATCTAAATAATATCAGAGCGATTCCAATTTTCTGCTTGGTCGAATCGTAGAATTTTAAAAATGAAACTGTTGATAAACTAATTTCCATCTAGTGATATTGAAGGAGTAAACCAAACTTTTACCACCCTCACTTGTAATTGTTCCCATAAACAAGAACTTATTGCCGAAGAGTAAGAATAAAAAGCTAAAAAAGAGAAAAGATTTTTTGGTAGAGCTCTGCCTTACTTTTGAGGATCACAACTAATGAAAGTTTGGTGTTGGCAAAGAAACTGTTTTGCTCCAACAAGAGCAAAACCGGTGACTAGTGGCTGATAGGCTTCATTTCTCTGCCCACACAGTACTCTCATCCATCAAGATTCTGGAAAAGCAACGTTTCACCAAAAAATCTTTCCAATGCTGGAAAACTATATAAATATTCGTTAAAAAAGAGGCATCCACAGACGGCATAAAGCTACATTTAAATTCCATCATTTTGAGCAATCACAGTTCTATTTTCTTTATTCCTAACTTCAAGCAGCCTTAAATAGATTTCTGTTTGATATTTTTATTCCAAAAGTTTTTCAAGAGCACTCATCTAAACATTGTTGCCAAAATTTAAATTTCCAGTTATTCCACAGCTCTTTTCCATGTGGATCGTAATAGTCACATGGTGAATACAAAAATTCATCAAATGGTAAAAATTAATGAGAGCAATTTATGACTACGTAAAAAGTAAGTGAAGGAACAATGCAAGTGCAAATTTTCAGGATCTTCAAGTGAAAAGTAAACCCTGCCATTCAAGCTGAAAATGAAAAAATTCGATTGAGCTCATTGAAAATAAAATTGATTCATGTGTTTTTTGGGCTAGACTGGTCCAAATAAATAGGGTACAATGTTAAACTAAAAAGAGAAATATTAAGAGCATATTAATTTTAATCTGTTAGTTGACAGGAAATAAATTAGGTGGGGTCCCATATAGCTTCAATGTTTCACAAGATGGATTCTTGAATCAAGAGAGTTGAGGCCCCATTTTCCCTCACTTTATGAGTGAGAAAAATGAAGTTATCGTGATTGTTTACGGGGAATACATGGCTTACGGAATTAAAAATTGCAGCTTTGATGCTGTCTTCTAGGATGTTTGTCAACTTTCAGCCTTTACGCTGATTGTCAGGTTGATGATAGCTGCTCAGGTTCCTGATCCAAAAATGAACATTTTATTTATCAAACTGCATGTGTCATCTTCCTCTTAAACAGTGAGTCTTGGATAGGTACCAATCAGAAACATTTCGACAGCATACGTCCACATCAGATATCTCATTTGCAGTGTCTAAAAATCTCCGTCTCTATGTTATTGTTTTAAAGGAGAAGAAATTGACATCATTCCTTGAAGTTTTTGCAGAATTTTCTTCGCACTGAGAAGAAAAACCACGGCAGTTTTAAAGAATTGCCGTTGAGTAGTTCTCCGTTTAAAATATAAAATATGACAGGAAGTCTGCGACGTCGCAAAGCGAGTTATGTGATTGCCGACTGACACCGTCGATTTTGATTTTCCCGTCAAATTTTTTTCTATGTTATCAATCATTTTTTCCGACTTCGATTAGGAAGGTACATAGTGATTGGTATCGAGTCAAAGGTGTTCTCCTTGGAAAAGTCAAACTGAGTCTTGTCTCTCCTTGTGAAGCTCTCTAGACCAAAGTTTTTACAGCTTTTCTAGAGTGTTGGGACCAATTAAAGGAGCCATGTCTGGATCATTGCTTAATGAAATCACGTGCTGAACAAAATAAATTAACTCCTTACGTTATTTTTTTCACAAAATAAGAACTTCTTTCTTGGCCAAACTTAACCAAACATAATATGACCTGACCCATGACAATAACTTAATCAAACCGAAATCCACTTTTCTGTCTTCTGACCCATCGAAAAATTGTCAACGTCAAACGCCTGAGGGTAATTCAGATCATTCCATCCCTAATTCAAAATTACTTCTGTTTCAATATCCATGATAGCATAATTTTCCGCACCCTTAAATGAACAGGAAAATCGTTTAAAACACTGACAAAACATTGTTTCTTGTCCAGAAGCCTCCAGAGCTACATATATGAGACATCCACCTTTTGATTCCTTTGAACGCAAAGGTTTGAGACCTACCATTTTAGCCCCAAAACACAAAAACCAATTTCATTTACAAAGAGCTCATAAAATTGTTTTCGCTTTTGGTTTGAATGATTGTGCTCATATTTCACTTTAAGGTCCTCAAGATTTGCTTGTGCAGATAAAATTAATATCATTTTCAGATAGCCCGGCAGAAAAAGACAGTGTTAGCTTATAACTTCAAGATTCCCCAAAAAAAATGCAGGGGCAAAGCTATGACATTTACTTTTTACTCAGACGGGCCATAAGTAAAGATGAGAACATTTTGAAAGGGCAGACCAAAGGCACCATAATTTTAGTTCTTAGGTAAAAAGTTTACCACTATAGAGGAGAGAAAAACTTTAGAAATTATATGCACACGAAATTCAGTTTTTTGTTGACAGCTGAGAGAAGAGTCAAAATTTTAAGAAATCAATGTTGATGAAATCTCAATTAAGTACTACGTTTTTTGTTGCTTAGAATCAACTAATTCAATCAAAATCAACAATAAAAAATCTAAATAGTAGGCACTAAAGTTCCGTTGTGGTCTCAACAGGCGATCGGTCTATCAGATAGTTGAAACCCATCTGCGAGTAGTCTTTTTTCTCTTTAAATAGAACATTTTCATTGGTAGCGCTAACATTTAAATGTCCATTCAGGGAACCAGGATGATCACTTGACCTGGAAAAGTAAACATTGTTTAAAATAATGGGATCAATTGAAATACATTTGACAAAGAAAGTTAAAGAGGGAAAGAGAGAATATTCTAAATGTATCCATAGGCCAAAAACGAAATGGAAGTTTGTTAAACAGCGATCACTTCCTTTTTATCATGGAAGGTTTTAATGATCATATGATGCTTTGGCACATCCATAAACAGTCATACACAAGAAGACCAAGGACCACACTACCGCCTTCAGAATAGACATCGTATGTACTGTGATTTTCATCACCATGTTTAAATAAACCAACTGCGGATGGAGTGCTGATGCCTAGCTTACACGCATCCCTTCAGGTGTCGTGTCTTGTGAGGAGCTGAATGCGCTCGCTTCTCTCAAGGTTCTATGAAAACAACACTCAATGAGTGAACTCACTCATTTAAATGGGTGTTTATGCTTTTAAAATAGTTTTATTCCTAAAATATTTACATTTCCTACTTTAAAAAAAAGCTTTATTTCTGAGATATAACTGAGCAGTGGCAATGAGCGTTTGCAAAGAGAACAGAAAATACTTCAATTCTAAGGAGAGTTGTGAATCTTTCAATAATATTGATTTTTTTAAAAGCACAGCATGCCGCATCTGGAAAACATGTGAAATCAGCTGACATTAATGACCTTGCGACTAGACTCATCTTGGAGTTTACAAACGTGCCCCAGGTGGCCCCTAATTGCATCTTTGCACGGTATTATAACAGCCGCTATTCTAAGCTATACCCCAGAACTCAGCGTGCAAGTCTCAACATGTCGCCTGGCAATTCAAATCTCCATCTTACATCCACGCCCACAGTTTTACGACCCCTGATTAGCGTTGGCAAGCCATGTTTTGTGTTTTCAAGTTTTTATTCAGACCACAGAGTTTTGAAAAATAATTTTTGAAGAGCTTTTCCGAGGAGGAAAAGTTCATACTTAAAACAATAGGGGGCAATACTGACTCCAGTTTATTTAACCTTCCTAAATTTTGCAAATTGTTGATCAGGTACAGTAAACTTGGTGTCAAACAATATTGAATGAGGTGTATTTGCAAAAGCAGCCAAAGTCAGCATTTTAGCTAACTCAGTTCAAGAGTTCCAGACCCCGTCTCAGTAAGTTGGGAAAGCCCTTGTATTAAACCTGAAATTTTCAAGAGAAAATATTCATGCCTTTTCTGAAAAATATTATTCTGAATATTACATTGAGAGATATTTGGAAACGTTTGAATATTCATAAAAAGTTTTTTTTTTCACACAGCAGAATAGCATCATGCAAGATGGCATACCTACTTTTAATATACCTAGTCATTTTCTTAATGTCATGAAAATTTAATTTCATATTTGCTTGAAAGCATACGAAAACTTTGTGCGCTTTCCATACTTCTGTTTTGACCTTTCAAAAGCTGTGCTTTTACAGTGTATCTGTACTTTTTCAGTACAGTAAAAATCTTACTCTATTTAACATCTTCGTTTTAAGAACCAAATGAGTTTCTAACTTTTAGAACAAATTTTGTGTTTTCAGTATCCGCAGGTTTTATATCAGTTTGTATCAGGTTTTGTACCGCAGTATCAGAGCTCCCTTTTTATATAAAAAAAAATAATAACTATGGAGATTAAAAATTTACCTATCATAGCCAATATTATTATGGCCTCCCAAATGGTTTTTGTTGAGCGTATTATTTCCATTATGATGGAAATCTCGAACAATGCTAGATGCTCGGGCAGTTGTAGCACCATCAGAGCTCACAGGACTTGTTCCACCTGAGAATTTTTGAAAAGAAAACAGATTAAACAAACATTTTTCAACTGCAAATTTATGGAAAAAAGCACACTGAATATTTACTTTCACTGTATGAAGCAATGCAAATGCCATCTCCTTAACAGAACAAGCGTTTACTCAAACTAGTTAAGGGTTCAGGGTCGATGGGTTCTTCATCAATAAATCCAAGTCCACCATTATTGACTATCGTCTCCAAAACTCATTGTTGCCTGAGTCTTAGGTCAATTTCTGTGAAACTTTAAAACTTCCACTAACTATAAGTGTGATAAAGCTCTTGGGTTTAACGGTGCATAGCGAGCTAAAGTGGAGTAAACACAGCGACACCTTAAGGAAGAGGAAGGCATAGTGCTCCTGGGGAAATTAAAAAAGAGCCTACAGGGTAGGCTTTATTACTCCTTGAAAAAGTTTTATAATGACCCAGCTTAGGCTTTTTGGATGTCTTAACGGATGTCCCGCCGGCAGATCTTTTAGTACGACGAGTGGCAGACAGGTACAACCTTTGTGATACAGTGCGCGCACAGGAAAATTTGTTGCAACAGTGGCGCCAGAGATGGCTTGAAAATCAAAAAAATACAGCAAAGTGGACTAGAATTTTGATCCCTGATTTGGACGTGTGGTGCCAGCGTTCATTTGGTTACCCCAATTTTTTCACTACACAGCTCTTAACCGGCCACGGGGCTTTTGGGAAATATTTGTTCAAACTCAAGTTGTGCGATTCACCCATGTGCGGGCATTGCGGGCTGATAGATTCAGCGGAACATGTGCTTTTTCATTGCCAGCGGTGGGGTCGCGCTCGGCGAGATTTGTTCGAAGTGATTGGTGGACAGTGCCTGCCTGGGGAGCTAATTGGGACTCTCTTGCAGGATCGGAAATATTGGCGAGCTTTTGAGAGATTTGCGGAGATTGTTCTATCAGAAAAAAGGCGAAACTTCACAACTAGGCGGTTTGTGGTTGGTCCGATCATTTAATTCAATTATTGTATTATTTACACTGTACATGTTCTGAGCACCCACAATGTTTGTCAGTGGCTGGACGAATTGTGGGAGGCGACAAGATTTTCCCCACAAGGCTTTTGCTTGCTTCCATGGTTGGTCCTCCTTACTTCATAATAATTAATTAATATCTATACAAGTATTTACAAGTATTTACAATTGTTACTTAATTTCTCGGGGTCGCGTCTTTCGTTCCTCCGGAGAGTCTGATTGGCACCTATGCATATTTTTATACTTTTATCGAGTCTTTTATAGTTTTCATTGTGACAAGTTTATGCAGAATCAGTGTGCAAGGGATGTGTTAGTGGTGACTAGCGACAAGTAAAATGATGGTGAGTGGTGATGTGAATAGTTATAAATAGTGCCTAATTTAGTGTTTGTTTATTTTAAGTTGCCTCTCGGGGGAGGGGTTGAGACTCTCTCTTCCCTTCCCCCTGTTAACGCAGGGGATCTGTCTGTGGATCTGGGGTTTGACGCTCCCCCGTACCCGAGTTAGCCGGCAAATTGCTAGAGATAGTCGGCTACCCTTCGACCCCGTAGACTGCCACCTCGGTGACTTTCTCGGGTTTCCTCCTCCCGCCTTTTGGCGGGATAGGCATCCCCTGATGTTGCCGCTCCACTGTGCCTGCGTCCTCGGTCGTTAGCCCACATCCTGTCGCGGCGGCAACGCGGCGGCAGATCAAGCGGGATCG